GGCGCTGACGGTCACCGTCCCCGCGAACAGCAGATAAATGACAGTCATCAACAAGTTCTTGTCAGTGAATTCTGTGTTTGAATCACATTCCTCCTGGAAGAAACCAGGCAGAGGGGCTCAGAGAACACAACCTGCAGGTAGCGGGGGCCGCCCAGCTGGGCTTCGGGTAGCACAGCAAGTTCAAGCTTTGTCAAGGAGTTTAAATAAATGTTTGGGAGAGTCAGGATGTGGGCTCTTGATATTATTCTGTCTGGTTGGAATGTTTTTAAAAATGAAAGAGAATGGCCATCATAAACACGCAAACAGAAAATGACAAGTGCTGGTGGGGATGTGGGGAAATTGGAACCAATGTCACCATTGGTGAGAATGTAAAATGGTGCAGCTGCTCTGGAAAATGGTATCACAGTTTCTCAAAAAAATTCAGATAGAATAATGAGACAATCCAGCACTTCCACTTCTGGACTTATCTCCAAAAGAATTGAAAGCAGGGTCTTGAAGAGATTATTTGTACACTCATATTCACAGTGGTGTGAGCCACAATAGCTAAAAGGTGGAAGTAAGCCAGGTGCCTATCAATGGATGAATGGATACATGAAATGTGGTCTATCCATACAATGGAATATGGTTCAGCCTTAAAAAGAAAGGATAGTTCTTGTCCAGCTAGTGTGGCTCAGTGGTTGAGCATCTACCCATGAACCAGGAGGTCACAGTTCAATTCCTGGTCAGGGCACATGCCCGGGTTGTGGACTTGATCCCCAGTGTGGGGTGTGCAAAAGGCAGCCAATCGATGATTCTCTCTCATTATTGATGTTTCTAATCTCTATCCCCCTCTGCCTTCCTCTCTGAAATCAATAAAAGTATAATAAAAAAAAAAAAAGAAAGGAAATCCCAACATATGCTACAACATAGCGGAACCTGAGGACATTATGCTAAATGAAATAAAGTACTTAAAAAGGTCTAATACTGTATGGTCTAATACTTATATGAGGCACCTAGAGAAGGCAAATTAATGAAGACAGAAAATAGATTGGTGCTTGCCAGGAGCTGGGCCGGGGGAATGGGGTGATGTTGAGAGTATAGCACTTCAGCTTTGCAAGTTGAAAAGAGTGCTGGAGACTGGTTGCACAACAATATAAACACACTTAACACTGTTGAACTGTACACTCAAAAATGGTTAAGATGGTGAATTTCATGTTATGTGTATTTTACTACAGTTACATTTTTAATTAAAAAAATAAAAAAGAAATGGGGCCACATATATAAGAAAAAAATTCTCTCTCAATGAACAAGGTGGCTGCATTTATTAAAAGGATGTGGCCCTGAATAGCTGCCATAATTCCAAAGTTTGTACAATGCAAAACTAGTTATTTCCACAGGAGTCCCCTGAATTCTCATTTTCTCACATAATAATAAATTGTTTTTATATAATTAATAAAGCACACTTTATTATTATTATTGGCTAATGCAAGGTTTCATAAGGAAATGACTAAGTCTCAGGAAGTATCCTGTGTGAGTAGGGGGGGCAGGGGTGGGGAGTGGGGTGAAGCAATGGTGGCCATTGCTAGTGGCAGGTCACTGGGCATGGGGGTGAGGTTGGAGGGAGGAGAGGGGAGATATGCAAGAGACTTGGATACTCATGAAGTAGGGGTAGGGAGAGGCAGAGAGAACAATGCATTAGAAAGAAGAGATATGCACACACATGCACAGACACACCTGGGTGGCAGGCAGCCAGGCCACCATACCCATTCAGGAGCGCCTCCAAACCTCCACCTTCCCCCACCT